ATGAGTTATTTTTTATATAGATTAAGGGTGACAAACGAGCACACAGTCCACCTGATTTTAAGTGGTTGTTGTGATCCATAGACATCTACATCTATCTTCGTTTGCGAATTAAAATGCGTAGTCAGCCGCGAGGATTAAGATAGAATGCCTCTTTATCCAGTAAAATAGGTCTCCCATTCTCTACACTCACCATACGAAACACAGCAGCATTAAGCTGCTATTTGACGCTGGTATTCTGTGAGAGCGTGGTCCGTCCCCGGTCGAGCCAACCCATTCGTGCTACAACTATATTATTAATATAGCTGCAGCATGGCTCTACCACGTAAAGAAGTTTTCACAATCTCCTAAAAAATAAACCAGAGTTTAACTGGACGGTTCATTTATTTTGATATCAGTGCTGCTTATTTATATTGTGAAGTTACCAGATAATGATGTTACCAGATATTAGGAAATTACATAGTGCGCGTAAATATAATTTCATTAAACATAAATTAATTTAATATGATTATATGAATTTTACTTTAGTATGTCGCATCTAAACTATATATTTTTGTTGTCAATTTAAAATATTCTCAAATAACCTTTTACCACAAAATGACGTTGAACCTTTGTTATCAAAAAACCTAACTGAAAATAAATTTTCAACCAAAAATGGAGGTTATATCAAATCATATGCGCTGACTAGGTTAGAATCTTTCGAATTTCTAGTTGTTATCTAGAACATACGACTCAAAACAATATATAAACGTTTAATAACCGTTACCCGACTCCAAAAACTGAAAAGAATAAAATAATTTCCAAATACTCGTAATAGCTTGATAAGTTGTTGCTAAAACATATCGAGTATCGAAGATAAGTACTGTTACGAGCTTGGAGTTCGAGACAATGAAAAATTGACACTTTAATTACAGAACACTAATTACGACTTAAAACCACACTAATAACAAAACACAATTATATTACTGATCACTTTAGTTCGCAGTTGTATGATTTCGAAGTATTCGCTTGTATCGCCAATTCAATACTGGTCGCGGTCTATACCAGCCTTATATAGGGCCTCAGATAATTTCCAGAACCTTATACTGTAGAAACATCTAGAATGTTCAAGTAAATACCGGTCCCAACTGACTAAGTGTCGATAGTTCTAGAAAGTTCTTCTATGGAAATTTCTAGAAGGATCTTGACTCTCCTAGTTCTGCAACTCGTTACTAGAGGGCGCTAGTGGTAACTAGTGTTGCCATGTACCAGGCATTAATGATAGTGTTCAATAGTACTATAACATATAAACCAAGTTTTAATTTTTATTATACGTTTAATTTTTAAAAAACAGTATTTTTGTATTACAAATATTCTTAAATTACCCTCTGCCTTTTTTATATTTTGTGTAAGATTTTATATTCATAATTAATATTTAATGCAAGTCCACAGATATGTTATGGCTACTCAAAGCACATGTTACTTTTTTTCTTTTATGTTTCTCAGTAATTAAATATATACTCTTTTGGGAAATAAATTTCTTAAACCTCAAAGTTGGTAAAAATTATTTTGCGCAATCCGCTTTATGAAATAAAATGATGTCGCTGCTGTGGCTGCCAGCTAAGCAACCTTAGCGGTCAGCCACCGTAGCCAGTCTACTTCACCTGAGGATGCGTCGTGTAGAGGCGAAACACATGTAGTATTGTCGTCGGTGGTGTGTCTTTCCAAGAGCAGTGGTGTTGGGAGTAGTGGTGCTGGGATTAGTGGTGACGGGGATAGTGCACGTAATTCAGGGAGGGCGGAAAGTACTCTTCAAACTAGGTAAGACGTATCATTTTATTTCATTGAGCAAAATAATGTTTACCAACCTTAATATGATGGATTTCCGCAAAGTAACGCCTGATTCTATTAAATATTTGTATTGTTTATATATAAAAGAACAACAGTAACTGACCGCCCAGTACCAGATAATCGGATCAGATCAGTAAGTTGAGGTGGCAATGGGCCGGATTTATATCTCGAATAACCAACATCTTATGAGAAAGAAAATTTCTCTAGTGACAGCATCATACTGGAAAGCGTTGTGTTGAGCGACCCTCCACTAGATGGAGTGACGATCTGATGAAACACGCCGCAGGTGGCCATTCGTCAGTAGTATATTCTATGCAGGTAGCTTGGTACCGTAAGTACTTTGTGGCAAACTATAGTGGACTTGTGATGGATTGTAACGATAGGGTTAGGTGATAGTATTTGGATTTTGTAAATTGTGAGGTTTTGTCTTTACACTCACTTAGTGGCTGTTGAATAGCTTCATGAGAAGAACCTGTTATTAATGCAGATACGCTTAACTATCCGTAGATTACTGATATCATACATTACATAGGTTAAGTCCGATATTTATTAGATATGAGAAAATCCGTCATAAACGGTCCATTGCAGGACGTGTGTTTCTCTTACAGTAAGACTAGTTTGCTCATTACTTCCTGCAAATTAGAATCCGCTTCTTATCGCAGATAATTCGAGATTGTTATAACGCTATTTATCGAAAGCTACAAAAACTTCTTTTTACAACAAACATGGAATAACATTCATAATTTTTTTTTCTTTACCCAAAATGTTCGTAGAATATTAGGCGCTTATTCGTTCTTATTCCGATAATCAATAATAATTTAAAAGTTTTTTTTTTTTTTACTTTTTGTGTATTTACTAGTGTACACAGCATCAAAGCTCGAAGTTTTAAGTAACAGAAATGCAATTATATTCATTTAAAATTAACTGTAGCTATATTATGGTTGTAGCTTGAATGGGTTGGCTCGACCGGGGTAGCATCACGCACTCACAGGATACCAGTGCTATGTTTCTTATGATGAGTGTAGAGAGCCAGAGGTCCTTTTTACTAGAAACGGGGCATTCCATCTTAGGGATGACATCGCATTTGCAGTTTGATTCCTAATCCAGGGTAAATGTAGATGTCTTTGGGCCATAGTAACCACCTATCATCAGGTGGACAGTGTTCGTTTGTCACCCTTATGATTTGAAAAAGTACAAAATACTCTCATGTTACGTTTCGTTCCGTGGATGACGTAAGAGGCAACTATAGGATATGCCAGAAAAAGATATGGGCTCCGATGGATTGTGGTCGTTTTCCGTCAGATATAAAATAGCCAAACTTGCTAAGGACAGCAGCATCAAACATGCGATACGTGTGATTATGAGATAGTAAATCCAACTGCCATAACTAATACCGATCAGGACAAATTCTCCCTACAACGAAAGAACCCCAGGTTCAGCAGTGAACTTCTACGGCCAAAAAAGAAAGAAAAAGAATATATTTTAGTTTATCATGTGCATAAACTTGTTGTTCTTTAGGCATCTAAAAAAGGACTTGCTTGCTATATTCAAAATATAAAGTACTTAATGATATGTATATCAGAGCGACCTCCAAATAAGTAAGACCTTAGTTGCTCCTACGGAATGACAAATGGCCTCATAAATTGTAAGAACTTTAGTGTCGCCATCTGTTTAGCATGAGATGTGGTCATGATTCAGATTAACATAGAATAATAAATAACTAAAGGCATTGAAAATAATTTCTTTAAAATAACATTATAACTCACTAAACCACACGTATTGTAATTTTTTAATTGCGAACAATTTTGGTACAGTTATTGAAAAAATATTTTTTTTTATATCATGCTATTTTCATTTTATTCTTCAATATAAATGTAATATTATGTATATTAGAAAATAGAAAAGTTAAAACTTGCATATGACTTTGTATTTAGTATTTTGGGACGATTTTGAAATGACAATCTGTGTATACGAGTATAATATATCGAGTATCCAAAAATAAATGATAATCGAACTAAACTCTAAACGCTACGCTGCTCTCTTTAGTACGTGACCCCCAAAAAGGTTATCTAAGACGTATCTAAGACTTACTTCTATAACATAAAATTAAATTAGGTATATCTTATTATTGTATAGTATATATTAATATCATTTTTATCACATATATATTAATTCAATTTAAGTATCGTTTGTAAACTGTAAATTATTTACATATTTTATTTTAGTGTTTTTTTTTATTTTTTTGATGTGTTTTTTTCTTTTATAACATAAAGTATTTTTAACTTGCCACTGCAAAAAATTAAGTATACAAATTAATGTTGTTTTGGATTTCATTATGCTTATTCTCAAAAATGTTCAAGACTCGTACAATTGAGTCATTGTCGGGAGTATAAACATGCAACAACAATGTGCTGTTTCCTGTTACCAGTTTCCTTACGAATGATTTACTAAGTTTCTAGAACAATCAAGGATAACACTGCGGTTATTATATTTGACTTTTTAACAACAGTAAATTACATAAAAAATCTTAAGTTTTAATCCTGAAGCACTTTCCAAAACAAGTAGTCTATGATTGTATTTAATATATATTAACATATTATTATATTAACTGAATCACAAGAGTTGAAAAATCTATACAATATACATTCTAATACTTTGTGATTTAGTTATGTAATTGTTATGAATCAATTATTATAAAATATAAAATATTACCTTTGGATGCTTTGACTTAAATCAGAAATAAAATTGTTTTAATATATAGGCAAAACGAAGTTAAAAGTTAAAAGTAAAGTTATAATCAGAATTTATAATAACATAAAATCAGGATTACTAATTATAATCGGTTACTTAATTATTATAAAAATATTAATATAAACTTAGGAAAACATGAGTTTTGTATGAGTATTGACTGACACCCAATAATAATCTTAATAATCAAAGTGTGAATTCCGTAAAAACGAAATGTTGTACTTTTAAAATAACTATATTTTTATAATTGTTTCCATATCACGTACCACTGGTCACCAGCATTGAACAAACAATATACATATTCTATTTTGTGTTTTTTTAATAATTATAGGATTTAAAAAAAATCTTTATATACTTCTATTTACTTCATATAGATATAATATACATTTTTATTTACTTTATATTGATACAATATTCTAACTAGATTATACGTAAATTTCTATTTGGTAATTAAGACCAGATCCTCTATCACTTTTCAATCTGAGGTTAGCGTACGAAAAGCCAACGCCTCCAGCAGTAATTGTGGCAGAAGCATCAGTATGGTCAAGATCTCTTGCTATAATTCCCTGTAATAATGAAATTCAATATTATTCATTCATCCAAACCTAGTAATTTTAGGATACACATTAAGAATCCTATATAACCATATTTTATATGGTATAGTAATGTTGTTAAGTTTGATATGTATATATATATATATTATACTAGCTCGCCAGGCAGACGTTATTCTGCCTTTTCCGATAACCCTTCCTATAAAAATCCTTAAATTCGCAATAAAAATTTTTGAGGGTCATTTAGCGGGATATAAACTATCCTATCTCTCAAGTTGGACCAAAATGCACACAGTGTACAAAATTTCATTGAAATCAGTTCAATAGTTTAAAAGTCCATCGCGGACAAACAACGTGACACGTATTTTTTATATATAAAGATATTGTATGGTAACGTTATTAGACAAGAATGATAGCGACCAATCTCATGATTATTATATTAGTGATTGCATTTGTGACGTTATGTGTCATTAATCACTTCACATTCATTGCGTAAAGATATTATAAAACACATGATGAAAATATTTCTCTTATAGAATATAAATACTATTAAAACTAATTTATGTACTGCAAAATTATTATAAATATTTTTTGTTAAACATAAAGCATATTTAGAAATAAATAAATTCAATAATTGTGACCCATATTGATGCTTATTTATTAATTAATATTGTTAATGTTTTAATTAATAAATATTGTTATATTGTTAATTATTGAGAAATAATTATTATAAAAACCTTATAACACTCGCGATGAAAAGAAGTTTTTACGTACCTTAATAATTTGTTGTCCAGGGTCCGAAAAAAAGACCTCTTTGACTCTTTTCTTCAATGGAAATGCATTGTATTCAGCTTTTTCTTGCCAAAGTAACCTATTGTTGAAACTGGTACCGACTATTAAGTCTTTGCAGTAGCTAACACTTATACATGCAATAATAACTACAAACAAAATGGACGTCGTCTTCATTTTACTGTGATAGCCTTTGTACTTAGTATGTTACCTCATCAACGGATGCAAGCGAACTGATCAAGATCAACAAGAACCGTTTATGTGCCGTCACAGAACTTGTTTCCTTTTAGCATAAGTGAGTAAGAGGAAAAAACTTATCATACAATTTATTGGGGCCACATACAATGACCTTAAGTACATAGAAATATAGGAGCGGGACTTTTTTAAAGTATGTAGTTTCGCCTTTATTAGAATAAAATACATCGAAGTTTAATTTTATTTAATGTATAAGATAAAAATAAACTTTATAATATTATATTATGTAGGTAAAAGTATGATATGAGTAAACCAAAATAGTTTGGAAAATCCAAAAGTACATGTCTCATGAGCGTTTCATATAATTTTGATGAAAAAAATATTAATTGTATTCCTGACTTTTAAAATATATTATTTACGTGTTTTAAATTTAGTTTTTATTATTTTAACAGATAGTGTCAACTACAGAGAAAAATATTTGTAATGTTTTCCAAAATATGGTATCTGGGGGCACGGTAGTGCCCCCGCCAAGTCGAGCAAAAAAGCGGCACGGCCGTACCATCCTTTTCTCGAAGCAGTTCAGGCCATTTTCGACCCCTTATAACTTCGTTATAGATAAAACTAGAAACCTGAATTTTCATTAGCCAAGCATGCATTGTATAAACACAATATATTTCAAATTGCATCCAATTTGAACCAGTAGTTTAAGAATTATAACTAGTCAAAGTTTCTTAATTTTGTCTATCACTAACTGACCGATCATCCAAATTCTAAGACACTTCTAGCTGACGTAGAAGCTTCAAATTTGGAATAAAATTATTGTTTAGTATATTAATCAAGGAAAAACTAAAATATTTTGCAATTTCAGTCCAGTTTTTGAGATACACCAACTGCATAAATAACTTTGTAATCCCATATAAATATATAGGATTACAAAGTTACATTTGCAGTGAATGAATCAGTGTACCTGTATTGTGTATAATATAATGGAATAATAGATGTTGATAGGTACCTAGATATAAATATGTTCAAAGCTAACTTTTAAAATGGTCAACGGAATGAAAAAGCAAGAATTGGACATGTTTTATAAGGTTGTACCAAAATTCCGCAAAATATTAAGTAGACTAAATGGTGGTAGTGGAAAGGAAAAAAGTAGGACTATCCACAAAAAGAAATGAGATGCCATCAAAAACCTAACTTGTAAAAAAACCAAGTCTCGCAACTCAGTTCTTCTACCGTAAAAAGTTGTGAGATCTATGTAATACCAAGTCGTTTAATTTATTCAGTCCCTATTAAGGGTCCTTATGTCCAAGTTATTACGTAATTAACTAACCTAACAACATCTTACAATGACCATATCAATATTAAAATCTTTTATGATTTAAATACATAGATTGACTTGGCAATCGCACTAAACAATCTAATCTTTATATATAAAAATTACGTGTCACATTGTTTGTCCGCGATGAGCTCCTAAACAACTAAACTGATTGAAATGAAATTTTGAACACTGTGTGCAGTTTCGTCCAACTTGAGAGATAGGATAGTTTTTATCCCGATAAATGACCCTCAATTTTTTTATTGTAAATTTAAGGATTTTTTTAGGACACATGGTGGAAAGGGCAGAACAACGTCTGCCTGGTCAGCTGGTTTAATAAAATATGTATTACTTGTGAGATACATTGTGTTTTAATGCGATGGCCAAGTCAATCAATTTATTTAAAATATAAAAGATTTTTAATATTGAAATGGTCACTGTAAGATGTTGTTAGGTTAATTAGGTAAATTATTAATTACGTAATAACTTGAGACGGAAGGACCCTTAAGTAGGGACTGAATAAATTAACCGACTTGGTATTACATGGATCTCACAACTTTTTACGGTAGAAGAACTGAGCTGCGAGACTTTGTTTTTTTACATGTTATGTTTTTGATGGCATATAATTGTCCTTTGTCTATCAAGGGCTGAAGTTAAATATAAAAGCGCCTTTAAATTTTTAATAGCTATGAAACTTGTAAAAGTTAAAAAGCATTTTATTAACAAACTACGCGTACTAGGCTATTGATATGAAATAGGGAACCAGTTCATGTAATTCTGAAGCTAATAAAAAAAACCCGGTCAATTTTTTCGGGGGTGATCGTGACCACATACAAAATCAACATCCGGACGTCCACGTAAAATATTTTTCAAACCGTTTCTTTTTAAAGTAGCAGTATAAAATTGATTAATTAGATTGTTTTCTTCATATACGGCTACTCATATAATCGTATAAGTGCAATATGATTATGATGAAGGCATTTTAAGAACACAAAATTACTTGAACTTGACGTGTCGAGAGTAGAGCACTACCTAATTACGCTTCGAGTTATAAGGTGTGCAATAACAAGTACCTTTGACATATTCTATTGTCAAATAGCGCAAACAACGGCTACAAATTAGAAAATTTGTCGCATGTATATAAATATTCAAATCTAAATAAGTGATAGAGTCAAACTGCTGTATTATGACTGCAGCACAAATAGGTAGACCAATCAGTTTGGACTACAGTATATCAGACAAATATTACACATTTTTACGTTTTAATTACTGACTTCACTACAGAATATCAGGCAAATATTTCACATTTTTACCTTTTAAGTACTGAGCAGCTATAATATAATAATTTTAGACACAGTCATCAGATCGTAGCAGTCCACTGCTTGAGATTGGTCTCTTTCGTTGTAGAGTTTTGCCTTTATCATCACACATGGCAGGCGGACTGACGATCGCAGTTCCAGACGTCTGGTCTTTGGCGCTGCTGCCCGTCACCAGTATGGATATTTATAGTATGGATATCGACATACAAGTACGTCTTGCCTAAACGAGATAGTATATCCCCATCTTTCAAACATCATACCACATTGATCTAGTGTATCTGATATTTAATCTCAGGATATCTTCGATCTTATCGCATTAGCGTTATATCGTACAAACTTCGCTAAGGACGTGTGAATGCCTCTGTGTTTGCGCGTACATTTGTGACATTTATAACATTTTGTGCCCAGTTATTTAGTAGAACGTTAATATAATACGGTAACTGTCACTATGCTAGAAAATTTACCGTTTTATATAAAATCTTGATTTTAAATAAAATCAAGAATACTATCAGAGGGTTAATATTTTTATGTTCAATGAGAAAACATTAACCGTCCTATTACAAATAGTTTGTGGTTGTCATCGTGGCTTAGTTTTGGGTTTAAGCTATGGTTTAAGAAGAGCCCTCACGAAATAACATTTTAGCCGTGACGACACAATCTTCGCCAAATTTGACATTTGTCATGTCAAATGCCATACTAAATTTAGAAAAGTAAAATGATTATTTTATCATCATAATTTCATTTCCCATCCACTAAAGGACTACGGAAGAAAATGTGGACTATTTCTTCAAACGCCAATCTCACCAGCACCCTATTATCCAACAGATGAGGTTTTTTTTGATCAACTGAAAAAAATACCATAAATGTTAAACACAAATCACGCAGAGCTGTTTTGTTCATATTTCATGCAAATGTTTCAAGAAATGCATGCCTGTGTTATTAAATTCTTAGAAAGACTGTCATTTCTATAAAAGGAGGCAAACGAGCATATGACTCACCTGATGGTAATCGATCACCATCACTCATAAACATCTACAATACCAGAGGTAAAACATGTGCGTTGCCGGCCCCTTCGTAAATACATAGGCTCTTTACTTAAAGGTACAGTTTTACCTATCGCTCCGGAAATACCGCTGGCGACAGTGTGAATGTATTTCAAAAAACTCCTGCTTAAATGGACAGTAATGGACTACCAACTATGGAGATAATGTAGATGAAATTTAAAGTTCTCTCATCAATGGTGGAATGTAGCAGCTGAATTTCATGCGAACAATTCCTTCAAGTACTTTCCATGGTGTATGCGATGTAAAAGGCAAAGAGCAACGCTTCTTTGCAAGTCCAGTGAATCATGTCGATAAAAAAGTACTTGCTCATCGACGATTTGAGTCGCTGTCCATTGAATATGGTGAAATGGAACGACTACCAGTATCATCTACTGGATTGAACCGGTCCAGAGGTGAGAACAATATTGTATGATGAGACGTACCTGACTTGTGAAGTAGCAAGCGGTAGTGTTATTTTATAATCTGTAACTTTACGCAGCACAACAAGATTTTTAGAATCCAATTTAGCCGTACCTTCCAATTGGCTGCGAAACTGTACGTCATTTATATCAACCGTGAGCTAAAATGGTTGAAGAAGTAGAATAAATATATTTATGTATTTCATAGTAAATTTATTCTGAAGGTACGTATAATCTTCAAAAGGATGAATATGTAAAATGGTTTTCGTATAACTTAGGTACATAATATATACTGCTTACCTAAAACAGAGCTCGCTTACATCTTTCCTAAGCGATTTTTCATGAACGGCGTAGCGTTAATGTGTACAAACGCCTTTGCCTTCAGCGGCATACTTTGCTCGTTTACAGAAAATAAATTATGTGCAGAGCTGCTGGCGGGAATAGACTATGAAGAATTTCTCTAGAGATAACAATATTCTTGTAATTCATTCGATATGCTTTATTTTATGTATTTTTAAATATTTTTTAGATAATCCACTATCCCATATCATCTTGTGGATATCATAAAGGGGAAACTAAAACTGGTGATGGGCAGCAGCATCTTCCTGATAAATAAAACTCAAAATAAAAAAACATGCGTGTGTTGTGGAACACTCGGTTGGAACGAAGTTCCTTTCGTAGTATATTATTATTGATAAATGTATTATATAATGATTTCTTATATTTACGCGAACACTACACATTGAATAAAACTATTTTTACGGATTTTATCGCGTTTAATTAACTTATTTTATATTCCCGACGTTTCGGTTGCTTTCCAGCAACCGTGGTCACGGGGGACTGAGGTGATTGACGTCCCGATGTCAAAGTTAACCCGGAGTAC